TAGTAACTCCATGGTCTTAAACTGATATTAAATACTGCAGCATATTTGTTCATAGGTTAGATGGACATAATTAAGGCTAATTTGTACTTATTAAAATAAGTGAACTGAGGAGAAAATATGAATTAGGGAACTTAGTATTAATCTTACTAGATTTGTCTACTTTTTTGAAAATCTACCCAATACAAGAGTTTTTAAGGTAGTATTTCTTAAGCTCCTTTAATAGACAGATCACAGCATAAAAATTAAAAAACCAATAATGCAAAACTGGAACATCCCTGTTATGTTGTAGCGTTGTAGCTAGTCATCACCAGTAATTCAAAGAATAATGATTAGAATTACTGGGTTGGGGAGAAGCTTTTTTTATTAAAAACTACCTTAATTTTTAAAGTTATAAGCTGATAACTTTTTCTAGAGACAGAAGAGGAGATATACTATTATTTATGAAAACATATCTACTTTTAAAACACTTGCCTACCATCAGAATGGGAGGTCTCATGACTTATAAATCTAGACTATCTATAGAGAAATACAGTATAGTACAGGAAGTCAGGGAATAAAAAAATATATTGTTCAAAAGGCTGGGAAAGAATGACTCTTGATAATAACCCAAGTATCTGATCCAAAGACTAGCAGATTTCTCCGTCATTTATTCATCAGTGCAAGCAATATTTATTAAGCATTTCCTACGTGAACGTACTGCCTCCATGTGACTTACAAGTAGGAGCTGCTCCTGAGACTCTCTATACTAGGAGGAGATGGTGGATAAACTGAGGATGGGTTTCTGGGAACATTCAAGGCTTCCAGACTGCCTCAGGGCTCCCTTTCATCTGCAGTCGTGACACGTCTGACCCTCCTGCCCCTTCCTGCTGCCAACTTATTGATGGTCTTTCACAGGTGTTAACTCCTGCGTTTTTCCACTGGGCTTAGTAGTCCTGTGCCTGCTCTGAGCGAGGCGGTGAGGGAGTGCATGGCAGGACCTTCATGTATCTGGAAGATTCCCGTACAGTGGTGGGCATCGTTGGGTACAGAACAGTCACACTCATAACTGACTTACTAGTTTTTCAGGCTAGAACCATGGGACGATGCCGTTTTGTTTACCTGGGAAGCACCTGTCCTCTGTGGATGGGCGTCCTTGCTTAGGAGAGGTACTAGAGGGGACAGAGGGCTAGGAACGATGTCTGGGATGTTGCAGTTTCTCTGAGGGACTCCCTGGTTCGCCAACTCCTTGTTTTCCTAGTGAGAATCATCGCTTTAATGTTCTGTAGAGAAAAATGACCTTTGAGAGGGTAAGAGATTACAGTCATTTGAAGAAACGATGACTACCCTGATGATTTCCAAGGAAATGACAGAGAGCCAGAATCCGGGGGGAAAGGCACGGCCTCAAAGCCAGTTAGCAGGAGGAGCGCCCAACATCAAGCACTAGAGGGTGATTGTCATTTGCAGCGGGTATCTGCTTTCCAGCTTCCATTCTGGTTATGTAGAGATAGCAGCATGAGTTAAATTGGTAGAATCTCAAATCAGATTCCTTTTGGGGGTAGCAGTTGTCAGAACGGTCCGACACGGGGGTCTACACAGGAATCCAGGTGGGGACTCAGTGTCATTTATTTTTTCCCCGATAAAGACCTACGTGCTTGCTATTTACATGGGCTTTCTTTTCCCTTTCTCCACTCCCTTTCGCATCTGGTATTTTTTCCCTCGACTCTTCCGTCTTTCCCAGGTGTGTTTGACAACTGCTCCCACGCCGTCAGTGACAAGGGCTGGGCCCTGGGGATCCGCTCGGGGACGGATAAGGGAAGGCGAGATGCTCGATTCTTCTTCTCCCTGCGCACCGACCGCGTGAAGACAGCCACCGTCGTGGTTAGCCACAGGCGCTACCAACCGGGCAGGTGGACACACCTGGCGGCCACGTACGACGGACGGCGCATGACCTTGTACGTGGACGGCACCCGGGTGGCAAGGAGTCCAGACCAGTCCGGGCCCCTGCACAGCCCCTTCATGGCCTCTTGCCGCTCTCTGCTGCTGGGCGGGGACAGCTCCGAGCACGGGCACCGTTTCCGCGGGCACGTGGGCACGCTGGCCTTCTGGTCCAGCGCCCTGGCCCAGAGCCACCTGCAGCACGGCCCTCAGCATCCGAGCGGGGCGGAGCCGTGGGCCACCTTGATCCTCACGGCCAGTTTCGAGCCCCTGAGGGAACAGTGGGCCCCCTTCAGGGAGGAGAGGTACCCGTGGCTCGAGGTTCTCCAGGGCTCCGGGCCCGAGCCCGAGATCCTGTCGCCTCTGCAGCCGCCGCCCTGCGGGCAGACGGCCTGCGATAACGTGGAGCTGATCTCCCAGTACAACGGACACTGGCCCCTCCGGGGGGAGAAGGTGATTCGCTACCAGGTGGTGAACCTCTGCGACGACGAGGGCCTGAACCCCATGGTGAGCGAGGAGCAGATTCGCCGGCAGCACGCGGCGCTGAACGAGGCCTTCGGCCGCTACAACATCAGCTGGCGGCTGAGCGTGCGCCGCGTGCACAACGCCACCCTGCGCCACCGCGCCGTGCTGGTGAACTGCGAGCCCAGCAAGGTGGGCAACGACCACTGCGACCCCGAGTGCGAGCACCCGCTCACGGGCTACGACGGCGGCGACTGCCGGCTGCAGGGCCGCTGCTACTCCTGGAACCGCAGGGACGGGCTCTGCCACGCCGAGTGCAACAACATGCTGAACGACTTCGACGACGGGGACTGCTGCGACCCCGAGGTGGCCGACGTGCGCAAGACCTGCTTCGACCCTGACTCCCCCCAGAGGTAAGGAGCTGGGCTTGGGGTGTTCTGCTGGTGGGGTGCGTTTCTAGCATCGTTTGTCTTTTTGGCTTTTGGAGGTTCACGCGGTTTCAGAATAAAACATTTTTCCCGCCCCATCCGACGTTACTGAGCTTTTGTGAAGTACTGAGCGTGATGTTAGGGAATCAGGGACACAGATAACGGAGACAAGGGACGGCCGTCCCAGAACTCAGTAGCTGTGGAGTAGACAGCCGGGTACGCAGCGTGGAAGGCACCTGGAGACAGGCGCACCAGGTACCCGAGGCACAGGAAAGCTGGACAACCACTCTGCAAGGGAGACCAGGGCCTCTCCGTGGGGAGCAAACAGGGTATCCAGGGAGAGAAACCGGTCAATTACGCATGACCATTCTTCCTGTAGTCGTAGGTCTCAGCAAAGTGATACAGACCCAGGAAGAGGTCTCTTGTCTGCTTAGTCTCTGGGGCAATTCGAGCAGTTCAGCAGTTTCACGAAGACAAGCCAGGCCACATCTAGCCACAGGTATTTTAGGCGACTGGGGTCTTGCCTCATTGAATTCCATTCTCTACGTGGCATGCAGAAGGATCTTTTGAAAAAGGTAGATCAGATCCTATCATTCCCCTTCTTAAGATTCTTTCCCCCACTGCACTGAGAATAAAATCTAAGCTCCCGCCTGGCCCATAGGCTCTGCTGCAGTCTGGCCCCTGCCTGCCTCCCAGCTTCCTCCCCCCAACCACCTTCCCCACCCACCCAGCACAGCCTCACTGAACAGAGCAAGCTTGTTCCTACCCCCAGGCTTTGTGTTGGTGATTCCGTCTTCTTGGAACCCTCTTTTCCTTGATCTTCCCTTGGTGGGTTCTCTCTCATCATTCAAATACCTACTTGATCGTTACCTCCTGGAAGGACTTTCCTGATCCCCCAATTTAAAGCAGCTACTCAATCACTATTACAGAAACTAATTTTCTTTTATTTATTTTAAACTCGTGAAGTAAAACAACATATAGTAATTAATTTTAATTCCCTGTATAACATTTCCCATTCCTGATGTTTTTTTTTCTTGCCTATTTATGTGTTTGTTTGTCTTTCCCGTTTGGAATATCAACTCCGTGAGATTGGGGGCCATGTCTATTCTGCTAACCACTCTATTCCCAGTGCCTAGAACTGTAGCTGACACACAGTTGTTTATCTCATGTTTGTTTTGATGGGTGAATGGATCTCATGTGTCTCCTCTTCTGAGACAGAATCCAGTAAGAGGATTCTCATGTGATGGCTGACGCAGGGGTTGGGGTTATTAGAGGGAGGCAATAGAGGAGGGAGGTGGGGCGTGAACTTGTTAATCTGTGTATGTGGACAAGGTATCCCCAGTGCGTAACTAGCATCTTTGTTCAAGTTATGAAAAGACTCACCTGAGAGATGAGGAAGGCTAGAGTGCGCAGTGGGTGACGGGGGGAGGACTGGATGTCAGCTCCAACCCAATATCTGGATGGCTGCCTGTGTGTTGGACACAATCTGTACAGTAGTTCGTGGTGTCCCTGTGTGTGGACAGCCCACTTGATATCAGTTAATATGATTAATAATAGGCTGGCCTGTGGTGCAGGCATGTAGTGTCAAGGACTGAGTGTGAAATCTGGAACCAAGGGACACAGTTAAATTCTAGAGTCCTTGCTACTTCACCGGTATGTAAATTGTGCAAATCACTTTCTGAAACTTGGATGTCTTGTCTGTATAATGAAGGTAATTGCAGTAATACTTTGTATTATTAATGTTTTAGGGTTGTTTTGTGAATCAAATGAAATAAAGCATAGGAAAGTGGTGCCCTTAAAGTTTTCAGTGCACACAGATAGTTCTAAACTAACGTTAGTTATTACTATTGTTAGAATTGACAGATAGGGAGCCCTTGTTTACATAATAATGCACAGGGAACTGATCATATTATCATAAATATTTGCATAAGAAAATTCTGTTTGGGTTTAGTTTTTAGATTTTGATCACCTTAAGCAGAAGCTAAACCTCACTAACAGCAGCGAGTGGCAACTCTTAGGATGCCCAGGAGAGATGAGGAAGCCTCGTCTGTTCCCATTTGTCTCCTAGCTCATTAAAACAACCCACTGCCCTGACAGAGCTGTCTTTCGGGATACCCAGGCATCATTCTCCTCAGAGTGGCCCTTATCTCTCTAAATCCCTGCTGCACCGCCCTCATTTGGGAGATTATAACTCATCCCCCTCAGCTGCCTGCAGAGTTGCCATGGGGACTCATCCCCTTCTATCTGTAGACCCAGAAGTGCTTTGAACCTTTATTCATAATGGACTCTCTTACCCCTACATACAAAACCCACTTTGTGGAGTATAAAGGAACTATTTAAACTTTTTGATGGTCAAAATATTTAAATCAAAGTTATAAATGCTCATGGTTTAAAAAAATCAAATTGTACCAAAAGATATAAGGAAGAACAACAGTCCCTTCACTAGTAACTCTTCCCCATCCTTCTCCACTCTCTAGCCTTGCTCCCCACGGGGAGCCATATTTAATTTTGTTACTCATCTCTTCTGGTAGTTACCTACACATTTCCAAATAGTATATTTATATTGTTTGATTCATCAGTTTTAAACATTATCCATTGACTCGCTCTTAGGATAGAGATGAGACTCTCTTACATCATCTCCCCCTTCCATCCTTCCAGTATAGTTAGTTTAGTATTTTTGGTTGGATCAGTTACAATATTTATGACATTGTGACTGTGAAATATTACTTGTTACAGAACAAAGTATGATTCTGTTGTTGTATTTCTTTTCTGGCATAGCTTCTTCCCATCCCCTATCCCACCCCTTGAGTCTATCTTTTGTTTTTTCCTCCCTCCTTCCCTCCCTTCCTTCCTTCCTCCCTTCCTTCCTTCCTTCCTTCCTCCCTTCCTTCCTTCCTCCCT